GGTGAGTACCAAAATTGTCTTGTAAAAGTGGTAGAAATGGGTCTGGAGGTCAGTACAGTCGAGTTCTTGGAACATATCCTTATTTGTTACATTGTAAAATGGGTTCTCTTTATGCAAATTTGAGTTATGTGCGATTTTCCAGGAACACATGTATAGCATAAAGTGAGGGAAACCTGTATAAGTGAGATCACATGCTCAGCACGTATTCAGTTTTCTACAACTAAACAAGCTGTCTTCTCCATTCCATTTTTGGAGCCACTCTGGGTTTAAGAAGAATTAGGTTCTACTGAGTTTAGTACCATAATAGTACCATAGTACTACTATGGTAGTACTAGCATGCCACCATAATAGTACCATAGTACTTGTAGGCATGATGGGTACATGGTTTTGTTACAGTAAACAATTCAAAATGTCCTTAGCTTTACCAGTAATATTACCACCTCATTGCACTGTAAGAAATATGGTACTATCTAAAAGGCAAGACTATTGAATTTTGTCTACAATATTTTTTTCACCTTTCAGCAGTAGCTACAATGCCTCAAATGAGTTAAGAACAGAAAAAAAAAAAATCAGACTTTTTCCAGAAGTCTGCACTTTGGGCCACTGTAACTAACGAAGCTAAAAGTGGGGACTGTATTTGACTGTGGAAGGCTAAAGAGGATATTTAGAAAGCCAGCTTACCATTAATAATTTTCCCCTTCCTTATGGACTTACTCCTTCTGTGGATAGAAACTGCCACATAGTTTTTTTCTGTCATTACTATTTGGCTTACTACTACTCCAAGAGCACAAACCCTAGCACATAACTCCATGTATGCACAGCTTGATGAAAAAAGGCTAGTGAACTGCTGCTAGGAGGAAGCACTGCAGAAACACAAAGGCTACATTTTAATTATATGTTGTAAACCTAGGGAAAAGTTTACCAATGTAAATAATATAATAATTAAATCATTTCAAATATGTTGTAATAAATAATTTATCAAGTTTAGATGAACTTGCACTTTTCAGTTAGGCTGTTCTGATGATCAACTTATTCTTGATCTTTACTTCAATTCTAGCATGATTTCTAATATTATAGCCATGACTACTGCAAAAAGATTAGTGCTTTCAACCATTTGAAAGCTGGTGGTCCAAGTTTTCACAATATATATATGCAATTCATTTCACTAAAAAAATTATTGTGATAGCAGCTCTTTAAATTAGGTTAGAATTGTGAACTCTTGTATATCTGATTCTGGTACAGCAAATACTCTTCATTTTTGGCACTGATGGTTAACAACATATCAGACTGGAGCTAAGAAAATGTTTGAACATGAATGTCTCTAAAGTAGCAAGTCCACCTAGCTGTAGTGCGATATGCGAGCAGATAATATGATTACAAATGCAGGGTCAAGCATTCAAAGCCCATCAAATGTTATCATATACAAGAATATGCTAATATGCTTGACACATTATTTTACACGTCTTTAGTTATATTTTTCTTCTAATCATCTAGTTGTATTAATCAGTGGTTGCTGATTTTGTTTGTTTTGGGGGGAGAGCATGAAGGCTTCAGTCTCAGGACTCTAAATCAATATTGCTTTCTTGTTAGATTTAGAGATTCATTTATTCATTAGCTATGGCAGTTTTAGAGCATTATGTGATACGCTGAATGAAAGACATACCATAACATAAATTGCAAATTGTTGTACTACATTAAATCAATTCTAACATATTAGCTATAGTAGATTAATATTTCAATCAGTATAGTTTAACTTACAGATTTTTTTTTAAAAGCTAATAACTTTGGTCAGAAAGTTTTGCTTCTACAAACTGCGGAAAGATAAAACTATTTAAAAAATATGCATTTGTTCCCCATGCTTTCAAACAATGATTTTGAACTGGTCACTAGGATGAAGTTTTTAGGAAGTTTTGCCTTTTCTGCTGAAAAGCCTATGTATGTGTTATGCACAGACAAATTATTTATTAACATTCATTTTACAGGAGCAAGGAAGGTCATTGGATAATTATAACTATAGTAAGGGCCAAATCCTTTTTGCAGTATCCACTGAAGCCATGGGCATGAAGTCAAGCAAGGATTTGGCTTGCTCTAAAGAGATGCCTACAGTGGGATTTACATGGCACTGTTGAAAGAAGTAAACATTCCTGTCGGTTCAGAAAGAATAGTAATCCTCCTGCCATTGACTTCAGAGGCAAATGGATCAGGCCAAAAGTCTCTAGGACTTCTCTGGTTACCAAAAGCTGCGTGTTTGACTTTTGTGTAGTGCCTGATATGTATATACCTCACAGTGCACAGCCAGCTAAACAACACATATGCAGAGATAGGTATCACTGATAATAGCATTAATAGGTTTTGCAAACATCTGAAACTCATTCCTAATGAAAGAATCAGTTTCATGCCCTCATCTTCCACTGATTTCAACTTGCTGGAGGTGCTCAACACTTAATACAATTAAGACTTTGCATAAGGGGAAAATTGTGACGTTTACTAACAGACAGTGTAACAATAAAAAAAGACGATGCAGATTTTAAATCAGTTAACTTAGTTTCAAGGAATATTTTCTTTCTGTATACTTCCTCAGTCTTCTTCCTTTTTGGGTTAATGAAAGTGGTTGTTATGCTATATGGACACTTAATCATGGATTAATTATATACAGCTTTTAATATAAATCTACTATAAAGCATAATGTACAATATTTACAAAAACACATTTTTTAAAAAAGGAAGGCCTGGGAACTATAAATGGTGCCTCTATTCTAGGCTAATATACGTGCAGCTTCTCTTCATAAAGCCCCTACAGAAGCAAGGAGAGGAGGCATCAAGAATAGTTTGTTCAGTGGGGAGGGGGGTTTGTACCACATCCTAGCTGCAAACAGATCCCAGGATAAAATTGATTTAATCCTTAAAACCATGTCCGTTATCCTGGCATAAATCCTAAAAATGTTTCCCAGACAAAAGATAGTAACAGTTACAAAGTTTATCCCAGGATATAGCAAAGTACATCTGTACAGTTATCCCAGGATAGCATCACTGAATCAAAGGCACAAAAGCAGCATGGCATTCAGCTGCTCAATAAACCCTGATTAGAAGGGTGATGTGTGGATTTACCAATGCTGGGATATTTTTCTGGGATAAACAGAGATACAACTTATCCAGGTATAAATATAACATCTGTTCCTAGCCCTTGAAACTAATATCAACCTTAGTCTGAAAGAGCAATACTTTTATATATCAGAGTCAAGGACAAAAAAACCTTATCCATATTAATAACTAATTTGCTTTCAAGTGTAGATATTAAAGGGCAGAATTTACACCACATATACCCATAATTTATTTTTCTTTTTAAGTAACCTAACAGTTCCAGTAAAAAAAAGACAGGGTGGGGGAGTGTGGGAGAGATGAACACTGCAGAACCATTAGTCCCCCCAAGTGGATGCCAAATTTGGATTTATTCAGCCAAGAAGTATTTGGTTTGGCTTGGCATTACTTGGCTTATAAAAACATTTGCCCATTCCAAAAAGCATTAACAAGCTCTGCTGCAGATGCTGTTGCCATTTGGCATGTCACTGTTGCTGTGTGGCACAGCAGAGAGAGAGACCTCTTGACCACAGATTTTGCTTGGCTGATGTAGCCAACATTTTTGGCTACATCTGCTCTCCTGGCCAACTGGCTGCATGCTTACAGAGTGTGGTTTTAAACAGAGTGTTAACAAAGCGTAGGTTAACAGCCTAATCCAAACTAGTAGTGAGGGAAAGGTGTGACCTATCAGGTCTATGGAAAAAGAATAACCTAATGTATTTTCTGGCTTTATAATGTACAGACAGTGTTTGTAGCATATGCTGTGCCTGTTGACAAGCAAACATTTTTCTTTCCCTTGGGATGGATGACAGTTTTAAAAATAGGCCCTGTATCAGCTGTATAAGCAAGAAAATACAAGCATGTGATGGCATAACACACATTGCATTTTGTAGGGCAGATTTTCCTCTTACTTAAAAGAGAAACCTAATCAGTTACAGTTTCCTCTTACTTACAAGGAAATCTAATAAGTTACAGAAAGTCAGATTAAATGACTTTTAAGGAATGCACTGGTATAATTCCATTGACTTCACTGAGATCAATCCTGGTTTACACTACAGTGAAGGAAGAATCAGTATTAAGGTATTTTGAAAAGAAAACACACACATTTAACCTAAAAGCCTGTGACTGTGCATTTACAGTTACCATCACACAACTCAATCACATTTCAGTTATAATGCAAAAATACACTGATGAACATCACCATATTAGATCTGTATGTTTCTATGAATGTGTGCAAGGTGTGGGGATTTATATATTCACTTTTGATGTGAGTTATTGTTTGTGCACACAGATCCTCTGCCTAATATAGAGAAGTTTGATCTCACAAATAACTTCATAAATGTTCCTCTTTCTTTTACAATTGAAATGTATTTTTGTTAAAACTATGACATTTTGACAACTGCACTAACTATGCTGCACTCAAAAAAAATAGTCCTGGTTTTCCAAGCATAGTTCAGTCTGTGCTTCCAACACTGTTCTCTGACATCAGCTCCACATGGCATGTGCCATCTGGAAAAAATCAGATCCTGTGCACACTCCTCCCAGGCACCTTTTATTCCAGCCATTGTTTACCTACAACTTTTTTTAGCCCAAGTTACCATTTGCAGCTATCATTACAGAACAAGCCAGACCATTGCTGACGTTCCACTAATCTGCACCAAAATTCCCATTAAACTTTGTAAGGATCAGATGGCCTACTCTTTTAAAATTCAATTTCATTTCCCCCAGAGTCAATGGAGACTGGTGACATCTGAAAGTGCGTGAGCTTAATTGACATATGTATCTGAGTCCCAATTTACAGCAGCAGGGTAAAATCACATGATGCATGATTAAGAATGAGGTAAGCAATGCCTGGCTACTGCTTGGTGAAAAAAAAAAAAAAAAAAAAGCATAAAAACAGATTTCACAATTGTTTCTCCTTACCATTTTGGCTTCTGAATGCATTGGAGGGACTTGGGGGGAAGCAGAGGGATTATTGAGGTTTGGACCTTGCATCCCCAGTGAAGCACATGGATTATTGAGGTTTGGACCTTGCATCCCCATTATATTGGAGTTCATTGACATCTGTCGCTCCATCTTCAAAGAGAAGAAGAAAGAAAGGAATTAACACAAAAAAGCCTAAAGATATTATCATGAACATATGTTCAGTTTCTCTTTAAATGGACACAGCTTTATTTCTTTGAGTCTTCACTAAAACAAACTGTTTCATGAATTGCTTGTGTGTGTATTGTCAGAATCCATCCTGCAAAATCTGAGTCAGTTAAAAAAGACTTTCTACAAAACAAACATATCAGCCACCCAGGTTTGAGCTTTTTGTAATGATTTTTCCCCCTTTAGTATAACAACACTCTGAGTTAAGTGATTCTAAAAGCACTGCTGTATAAAATTGTGGCTTCTGCTGTCACTGTAGCTGAACTGAGCTTGTTTCAAACATAAATACAAATGCATGATCTAGAGTGCATGGAAAATTAGTTTGGGATTTTTTTTTCTTCTTACTGAGACTGCTCAAGTTAGGAGCATTTCCTATATGCTCTAGGTCTCTTTGGTGAAGCTTTCGTGCATGATTATTGCAGCAAAATAAAACAACAAGCCCTAGCAACCCTTTAGAAGTTTCCTTTTACGAACTTTCCTTTCCTAATGTCACCTTAACAAATTTAGAAGATAACTAGAAATGATAAAAAAATTACAGATTAAAAGTGTTTCATGATAATGTTTTTCCTGAAGAGATATGCCATAGGGGCTTTATTATTTATCTGATGATCCAGATTCACACCTGTGGATGAAGAGGGAACCATTTGAAATCCCTGATTCAGGGTCAGATTGGTACTAAAAATGGATATTCATTCTATTTGGGAATCAGACAAGGAAAGGTGTGTAGCAGAGACCACTTCTTGGTATGTGCTGGCTAACTTTCAGTTTAGGAAGACACCCATTATGGACAGAGGCCCAATCTGGGTAAATCAAGCCCATTGTTCTCTTCTTCTACCACTAGGGCGCTTCCAGACGATCATGCATGTACAGTATGCAGCACCACAGACCTGTCTGCGCTGCAGCACGTTACACATGCCACACATGCAGGTGTTCCCCACGGTGCTAATTTGCAAAATGGGGGTTTTATTGATGCCAGTAGACCAGCCGCTCCAGCCCACCTGGGGCAACATGCCACATGCCAGAGCACGTGTGTATGGGCGTTCCCCAGGGACAAGTAGCAGGGGCACATATTGTGCCGCTGCTGTTTGTCCCCAGGGAAACACTCATGCCAGCCTTAGAATCAGATCAAATAGCACCCTTTCTTTCCAAGAGGTGGAGAGACATACTTCATTTTAGGGATAACATAAACATTTACAAGGGGCTTTTTTCCCAATGCTGATTGGCAGCGAAAACCTTGTTTTATATTCTAATGAATATAGTAATTTCTTTCATTGAGAATATGCAAGTAAATGCAGTACTGTGAAAAGCAGCATCTAACAAAGTACTGCATACCTTCTAGAAGATGGTAACTGTTCCCATCTTCCAGTAAGTCAATGGAAACTGATGGTGAGCAACAATCCTTCAGGTCTGGGTTTTAATTTAGTGAAAATGAGTAATTTAGTGAAAAAGAATGAATCGCAATTCTTCACATTGACTGACCACATCCTAGCATGAAAGATCACATTGCAATAACGCATGCATTTTTCCATTAAGCGACTGATTCTGACTTAATACTTATGCAACTCCATTGTGCCCAGTGGAAATACTCTTGATGTAAATGAAGTAAGTTAGATTACTATCAGGGCCAGAAACCCTAAGCACAAAAAGGGTCTGGATCTAGTCTCACATAAACTGAGGTTAATGGAGTTACACCAATTTTACTTTAAACTCGGTAAAGTAGCTCTTCATTTGAATCAGTTTATTTAAGCTCAAAATTAGATAAAAATCTGAATTCACTCTTTTGAGTCAATACATTTTCACCTTTTAGAATTCAATAGATTATTTTCCTCTGATAATGCCTCATATAGTATTAAAACTTGTATAACTTACTGGCATTAGTACTGCAGAAGATCCAGGCATGGTGGGATTGGGCAGGGTTCCAGGCATAGAGGCAGGCATAGGCTGTCTTTGTCTGTTATGTAGGTGCAGTAGTGAAGACAGAGAACCTGGGACAGGCCTAGGAGAAAAGGAGAAAATGCTGTCACTGCCTATGGAGACTAAATCAGTGTATTGTATTATCAGAAACAACTAAGGACAACTACGTAGAGCAAGGAAACAATGTGTGCCACTGACCAAAAATCTGTATACGAGAAAGTATTAAAGTAACAATAAAAAAGGCAATCTGGTTTCTTTTTTTTTTTGCGCTTTGTAATAAATACGGGTTTATTTCCTGAGAAGCATCTTACTAAGGTTCTATGCTCAATGCATTGTTGTAAGTTTTACACTCATACAATATTTTGTGATAGTTAAGTAGATCATCACAGCCAACTAACATGCTAAATAAATGTAGAAATTTTGTCAGCTGCAAGTTATTTTATACTGAACATTTTTAACTGTCATACACACAAACAAAAAACTTCTAAAGCTATAGTCCTAATTTACATGCCATTCTGCCACTCACAGCAAGCAAAATGGAAAAAGTTAGAAGAAAACCTAATAAGTTACAGAGAGTCAGATTAAATGACTTTTAAGGAATGTAAAAATGGTAGAATGACTTAATGCTGGCAAAAGGAGTTAAAGGGATTTAGAAGGGTTTTTACAACTAGATCTGGGGGGAAAAAAGCCTAGAGAGAAAACAGACCCATTAACAGATGAGAAGGCTCAAGAAACAAATGGATTCAAAAATAGTTTGGGTTACTCTTTAATAATGCACTTTAAGAAAAAAAATATCTGGACATTCAAAATAATCACTTAAAAATACGTAGACAACAAATAGAAAAAAAATCAAACAGTGCAAATCATATATTATTATGAGTTTTAGGAAAATTAATTAAGCTTCTCAGCTATGTCTAAGAGGTCACAGCAAAGTTTTGAGTTGCTTGAAGTTTTCTGAAAAGAAAATGTAGTGTTAATTTTCAAAAACCAGGAAAAACAGCCATCCAGTGGACAATAAATAAGACCAGTGCAATTATGGATGGCAGAGAGAGATTCACAAACCACTAGGCACATGCAATATCACATTTAAGTCACTGACAAATAAATACTGATAATACTATTGGAAAGAACAATCAGAAAAGGATGTAAATAATTAGTTGATGGGACTGATTGATAGTTTAGTAAGCAACCTTTATGGGGTAAGAAGAGTCTACAGATATTTGAAGCATATAAATATCAAAGATGTTATTCAAACCTAGCAGATGCACACTCTGCTTTAATAAAGGGTCCACAGCCAGTCACCAGATCTCCCATAGGGCATGAATAAGTATTTGCTTACTTTAAGCCAGCCAAACCTAAACCAGGAATAGCAAGTGCAGATGAATGCAGGGGGAGCTGGTTGGTCTGTGTGAAGAGGGGAAATGGGTCCATGGGGGCAGGGGTGGGGGTTGCCCAGTCCAGAGGTAGGGGGGGCACTAAAAATAATGAGGTAGAGTTGGGGAGGGTAGGAATAGCACAACCCCAGCCTGGGGCAAGTGGCTGGGTTTTCTTATGCGTGGAGGTGTGCTGTGAATGTGTATAGGCATTTACTAGACCAGGTTAACCCATTTTTAGATTGGGTAAATCAAGGTTGATCTAAATTTAATTCATCTCCTGAGATGAACTAACTTTAGATTGGGCACATGCTTTTTAGTGTACTTTAAAGCTCGTGAACACTCCTTCATGCCTGGGCATTTAGATTGACCTAACCAAGTTTAGGTCAATCTAACTGTAAAGCTTGTAGGTACCCATAGGCTGTATTTGTACTACTTGTGAGAGAGCAGAAAGATGAGTAGTGCCTGTCTTCTTTAATGTATGAATTTTCTCCAGTGCCTAATGCAGCTTCCCCTGCCTCACTAGGCATCTACACATGTAATTAATGCACCTGAATTTTCTGTGAAGAAAATTCTTATCTGTGAAGAAAATTCAGGTTCATTTAAGCACTCCCAGGCACACGTCCACTCATGTGCTTCTGCTGGGAGCAAATTTGCTCTCAATGGGAGCAGTTCAGTCCAGGGCTGCTCCTGTCCCCCTGCCCTGATCTGCCCCCCCTGCAGCAGCCAGGGGGAACCCCAGCATCCTCCGGGTTCCAGCCCCAACCTAGCCGGGGCAAGGGGGTCAGGCCTGGGCTCCAAGAAGCTGGGGGCAGCTGTCCAGCAGTGGGAAACAGCTCCAAGCCATGCGGAGCATGAGATTGCAGCCTGACTCAGCAGCACCGGCTTGAGGTGATGGCCCATGCCCAATTATGGGGGTGAGCAGTGCCAGGAATAGGGAGGAGCCATGGGGAGAGGGAAGCAGCTCCAGGACTGGGGGAGATGTACAGAGAAGCAGCACCAGTCCTTAGCACCGCTTCCCCCTTGTGTTTCCTTTCCCAGACCCCGGCATCTCCCCCCTGGTCCCAGCACTGCTCAGCTCCTGGCTCCCCCCAGGTACAGGCAGAGAGCAAGAACTGGCTGGATTGTGTGCTGCAGGGGCAGGGTTGAGGGGATGGGGGAGCTCTTTGAGAAAGATGAGGAAAGAGAAGCTGAGAAACTTGATCTTTATTTGGCTTTCTTAACCTGTAGGAAGTGAGGGAAGCTATCTTACTGGACAGAGAACTGAATCTATGTACTCTAGAGGGCAATCCAGAACTAGCAGAAGGATGGACTGCAAAAATCCTTAAAGGCCTTTCCTATCCCTAAGTTCGGCAGCTGTATGTGAACACTACAGAGTCACAGAAAACTCTTATTCAATAACATGTTGGTTGATTTTCAGTGCAACCAAACTAAAACAAGTACCATGACAACAGCTCACACCCCTACTACTCAGCCACTCTGTGACAGTCCAATATACAGGCCTTTTGTACAACTCACCAGTTTTGTAATAACCTTAGGTGTTAGGCTGTTTGACAGAAACTTATTTTGGCCTGACCTATGCAATTTGTGCAAGTGATCCTCAGGGGACTACACAGTTTGAATTTTGCTTATGTGTTCCAGAGCCAAAAATGTTTCTGAAATTGATTTAATGAGCCTGGGAATATGGGACTAAAGCAAAAGGGAATGATTTGTATTTATTAAAATGGCAAATAAGCTACCTCGCTGTCCCCAGTCCCACCTTTTATGTTGTTTGGCTTTGTGGGTCTGCATATGCTTTACATGTTGTGACGTTTTTAAATTTAACCCCCCCTCCCCAGTATTTTCAGG